GCACTTCTACCAGCAAAAAGGGTAGCTACGGTAAATGAGCTCGATTTACTTATTTTTCTCCTGAAATTGATTAAATATAATTCGAATGACCAATTCAAATAAACTGAAGAAGTTGCACTTTTTCACTTCCACTTCACTATTATTCACAACTTTCTGCTTTTTCCACTTTTGCTACAAACATGCTTAGTGTGAGGTATTGCCTTCTTATCAATGAGTCGATGCAATTAGCTGGTTTTCCTTACATAGAAAACTTAGAATTAATCTGACTGTATGATCTGGCTGAGTTGTAAAGTGAGATGATATGTGTTGTAAACTACTATATAAATAAAGTGAATTGAATTTTATATTTGATAAAATTAAATCAAAATATATATTTTTTGTGTTTCTATAACAAAAAAGTTATCAAGTTAAATAATTCTGTAAATTACTAATATTCTCCAGCTTCTTGAATATAAGCTTGAATTGAATAAACACTTTGACAACTAGGAAAGCTTTGATTATGGAAAAGATTTCAGAACAGAAAGGACGAGGTCTTTTTTTTACTCCGGGTCAGTCAACACAGAATAAAAATAAACTCAACTTCGGAAATCTTTGATGTTGATAATAAATCAAAATAGCTGATTTTTCAGGTAATAGGGTTTGAATTAGAGAAAATGAGCCTTGCTCCACAGTGAGCGACACCGCTCTGGTTTCTTGGTGCAGAGACTGACAGCCAGCCTCATTGGGCTCAGCAGTGGGGATCATGTCATGTCACTTCTTATTGACAGCCCAGCCATCTCCTAATGGCTTGTTCAACAATTGCATTGCTGCCTGGGTACATAAGTATGTGTGTCTGTGTGAGAGGCAGTAGACCCCCTGATGCACATAATTAATCATACATACGTACCATCAGACTCCCCCAACCCTCCCCGGAATGCACTGCTGTTCCAGCAAGTGAACAGAAACCTAAAACAGTGCTAACACTGCGCTCTGCACAAGCGCTCTAAAGTGATTTGCTTCTTATGATGCTGATAACTGCTGTGAAGATGCAAATTAAAATAGTTGAGCAATTGATCTATGCGTTTTGACATTTTATGATTGTTGGAAAACCGACACAACATTTGATGAGAAGGAGCATCATTTTCATGTTTATATAATTTTCTAAAAAAAATATTTATGCTGCTGTCAATGTAAAAGAGGGAGGGTTTGAATTCTATAAAGGATAATTTTGCATTTTAAAATCAATTAGCAGATAACTCTTGTGGTGTATTAATTTAGTATAAATCCAGATTAGCTGATCACAGAGGCTGAGGCTAATGTTTAGTGTGACAGCAGTCAAGACTAATGCATGACTTCTACCATCTTAGAACAATTCTAATTTTTAAAATGTAATAGTAATTTATTCTAATGGTTTTAATGGACTTTTAAGATTGCATCCTGTATACAGCGTGGCCATTTATGAAGATTTTAATGGATATTTAAATGGGAAGGAGTGCTGTGCCAGTGATGTTTTCTGAAAACACAGAGGACACAACAAGCTAAGCTTTTCTATTCTTCACACAATTTAAAACAGGATCTTCAGTTCTAAACCCTCTTACATTTAATGCAGGCAGTTCCTAATACAGGAAATGCTTAACATACTTTTCAAAGAGGATGGTTTTTAGTAGAGCACCACCTCCTGCCACAGTTTTCAATCATGTAATCATCAACTTCTCTTTAATAAAACAGTATGACAATTATCAGACTGGAGCTGTTTAGGACGATAGGCTCTACTTCGAAAAAGTTGGACCTGGGACCATCTTATTTAAGTCTTATGCTTATCTCATAAGTATTATCAGCCATTTAAACTCTACCTGTAAGCTTCAGTGACACAGTTTCTATTCACTAAATGCTCTTATTGCTTAAGATCCAAGCTGTTTTGCATAATAAGCACTTATAATAATAAAGGAGCGTAAGGCAGTAAAACTTTTTTTTTTCCATAAACAGTAATCACTCGACCATCTAAGAATAACGTTCAATGCTCACAGTCTAAGTGCTGTGAATAGGTAAAATTATTACTGGCTAACAAAAAAAACTATGCTGGTGAGAATCGTTAATCTTTATGAGCACAGACAGAGTGTCTACATGGAATAACAGGAGATTTGTTCACATTTGAATGTGTCATTGTGAGAAGATTTCCACCAAATTAGCATTTTATCTGCATGCTAAAGCTACAGTGTGTAATAATTGCATGGATTTACTGACAGTAATGAAATATATTATACATAAGTAAAATACATATGTTATTTATTATAATCTCTGAACTTAAAGTCTCAATATTTATGTTTATATTGCTTAGAAATTACTATGCATTATTACATTGGAGCAGGTCGCTCTAATCTGCTGTCTAACCATTAGATGCCACTAAAAATTGCACATTGTAGCTTTTAAAAATAAAGAATCTGTGGTATTTGGACGTAGATGGACATCAAACTAAAAACTGTATGTTGATGGGTGTATTTATGTGCATCTTACACCCTAAGCCTAACCCTAACCATAACCCTGCAAAGTTGCATTTTTCTATGTGTACTAATTGGGGAATTATTGTTGGAGACAGGCTTCAGATCATAAACAACAAAGGGAAGTTACAACTGAAATCTGATTCGGTTTCAACAGAACATCAGCTAAACTGCTCTCATGATGGATTATTACGAAAAAAGCCCCACAAATTACCAGGAATGAGGAAGTCTTCACAGGCGACAGTTATGTTTTCACAGGTTCCCTTGAGCAGGGTTCAGAGAAAGTTTACTGCCCACACAGTCCCTCAAGAAATCTCTTTCTCTGGCATCACATGCATTCAATCAAGGCACCAGCACTGATGGAAGAATTAAACCCCTTTAATAAAACTTTTTTAAAGCAATATTGTGTTTTGTTTGTGTGTCTTCTGGACCTTGGTGTCAGTTTCATCTCAGGTGGTCTCACAGTTACAGCATATTAGTACCTTTTCTTCTCTCGGGTTGAATATACTGTGTCCACAACACACTTCCCTGTGAAAAGCCAATACCTGCATCTTTTTTATATATCTTTTGCAATAAATTGTCTCTAAAATTCAGATATCAAGGACTTTATGAGATATGTTCAGATAAGTTCTTAAATGGCCCCTAGAGGAGTGAAAGGAGAGAGAGCTGAACAAGGCCTTGATTTTACTAAAATATTTGCTGACTATTTCTGCTGCATTGACTAGGTTCTCACTGCTGTAGTCAAAAAATATGAACATTCATTTTAGAATTAGGTGCAAATGAAATGGATTATCACTCTAATCTTATATTTCAATCTATAACTAAATGTAAAGAGCTGCTTAAAAGTCTATATTTGTTGTTTTTCTGCTTACAATATGCATGTCATAAAGACATCTACTACAGGTGTAGATAATTTTTTATATTTTCTTACATACCTGTTGCACAGCAATGAGCAAAGACTCGTCTATATTCATATTTTCTAGGTTGCCTTTGCAACTTAGAAAATGTGATATTGTTGCAGATTGAAATGTCAGATGTCTCTTTTCTGGTGCACATCTAATTTACTTAGATCTAGACAACTTTTATCATCATTTTGTATACACAGAGTGTATACAAAACAAAATTTTATTTTGTACAGCTTTCATGAAATTTCCATTTCTTGGAGTGCAGTAGTAATCAAATGTAAACAAAGTGGGAGAAAACATGTGGTGCAAAAACAATTCATTGATATATAATTTCAGAGCATTAAAATGCTCTGAGCTTCCATTTCAATGCATTTTTTTTAATTTAGAACTTTTTATTATTTAGACCATCATGGGCCCCTGAAACGCCAGACTATGCATTTTTTCCCAACCTCTACACGTCTAACTTCATCCTCCACAGGGCCACTAAATGTAGTGTAGATGTGTGTAACATGAAAATGATTTGTAATAAAACTAAACGGATTTATGTGTATTCACAGCAAGTCATTACAACTTGCTCAGACACATGGAGAATTTGATGCTCCAGGTGCAACAAAAAATCAAACCCTGGTCCTTGGCATCACAGGCAAAGACTTAAACTACTACTGTATAATACAGGAAATAAATGTATTGAATAAGTTGATTTTAATTTTAGCGTTGATCTGCATCTGGGACAATCAAATTAAGCTTTTATATTCACTGATTGCCAGAGCCAGTCATTATGATACATTATGAGACTTTAAACTTTAAACTCTGGAGGGCCTGCCTGACACAACTAGGAGTGAAACCCAGGCCCCGAAGTATATTCATACCGGTTAATGTGAAGATAACTGTCTTAAGTTCACATTCAGCAATCATAAAAGCCTAGAAGTGGCATTGAACCATCTGAAAGGGCTACAAACATGACATAAAAAAACATGTCTACAGCAAAAAGATTTGGATTTAAAGCGGTGCAAGAGGCAGGACTTTGTCCTGCAACCAAAGGGTCATGAGTTCAAACCCCAGCTCTGATCCTATCAGATGTTGCCTCGGGCAGGATTGCTTTGCCTGCTGATGGTGGTCAGAGGACCTGTTGATAACTGCGTTTGGTAGCCTCACTTCTGTCAGCGAGCCCCAGGACAGCTGTGGCTATAATCTAGCTCACTACCATCAGTGTGTGAAGCTCAGTAGGGTCCCTGGACTCAATACAGTGCTATACTGTACAAGTACAGGTGATGTTGAGGCTAAAATCAGATGATTGGTGGATGTTGAGGAAAAAATTTTTATATTTCATTTTGCACTTTCATAGGGTGTTGACATGTCTTTGTGCAGTGGTCATCTTCTGGCATTTTTTCTCAGGCTTTCTGCAGCTGTTCTAGAAGTCAGCTTAAAATCTGACTAAGAAACTAAATCAAAAGTAGCAACAAAGTACCCAAAGTCTTAATTATAAGGGAACACACCTCTTAAGATACAACGTATGAAGACAAAAGCTTATTTTCAGCTTGTTTAATTTCTAATAATGTCATTGTAAAAAAAACTAAAGATTTTTTAGTATTGCTTTCTGGCCCTGTAATACTCTCACCTGTTGTGAACGGAGTTGGCTACCACTCCTTCCTGTGGCTTGCGATTAGATGGAGGACCCATTCCTGGCCCAGCTGGTTGTGGCATGCTGGGAGAAGTGGGACCCATAACTGGGTAGGTCCTGTTCTGGCCTCCAGGGCCGTGGCTCCTTCCTCCAGGGCCTTGACCATGCATTGGGCTAGTAGCATTCATACCCATACTGTTGCAATGACCGCTGTAGCTGCTTCCTGTTGATCCGATGTAGTTAGAGGGGCGAGGGTAGTTACCTAGATAATACAGATAGGACAAGCAACTTTTAAAAAATGGGACATTTTTTAAAAAGAATAAATCAATTTATAAATTCATGTTCAGACTGGATGGATCGGTGAAATCCCTAAACCATAGAAGTTATAAAGGCTTAATAAATCTGGAGGGGTACTGTACTGTCAGTTTTTCCTTTATATGGAAAATTATGGCACAAATAACAATGTTTCAGCACTTTGAATGATAAAGAATGAGAAAAAAAAATTAAGATATGGAAAAAATTATAATGCATGACCTCTTAAAATACTATGTGTGCAAGAAAAGGAAGAAAAAAAAACACATTTAGGATGTGTTTCTGATGACATTTTTCTCCACCGCAGCTTGGTGGATAGCCTTGGGAACAATTTCCAAGCTTAAGGCTGACTTTGTGAAACACTTGAGAGGAGCTCTAATCTGCAGTAAATGCTTTCTTGCTGCCCTGGAGTGCCACGCGACCAAGATGCCAGAAGCTTTCCTAAGGCACACTTAAACCCTTCCATTTTGGCTTTAAAACCTCAGCTTACTTCCAACTGAGACACACAAGGAAGAACCGTGCTGGCAAATACAATTATATACAGCACAGCATAGAAAAGCACTACCTTTACCACACGTTCACATACAGTCCACCAGCTATAATGTTATTTGAAGGGATTTAATATTAACGGAGCATAATCAAAGGCCTCAGGTCGGATAAGATCAAAATAAAACTTTTTGGGCCTGTAAGCAAATTGGGCCAATGACTATTTTGTGTTTTCAGATATGCAATTATATACTAATCTCTTTGCGACAACAATCCAGCCGAATTGTGTCATTAAAGTATTAAAATGTATTAAAAATGCTAAGAATAAATGTATTCTATGCATTTTACTTTGTCATGAAATCCAAACCAGATGCAATAAAATTTGTGACCAAAGGTGAAAAATTCATAGAGTTTGGATATTAAGGCAAGGCACTGAGCATTCTGGCGCATTTATAAACCCCTGCTATAATGTGTGGGTGCTCCTAAAGGGCAGAGTATTTCCTCTGCAGGCACTGAGCTGTTTCCACAATAATACTCCCTATTCATGACAAATCCCCTGCAAAAACAGAAATGAAAAATGTGGCATCTCCCATTGTAACGGGGGCTATTTATTTTGATTTTATTAAGGGTGCTTTAGTTGGGCCTCACTGCATAATCCCCTGAGAATATGTCTGGAAAAGGGGATCAAGTCCCTTTAAAACCTTGAAGGCTTTTCTGCATGCTCTAACGGGAAGAAGTTAAATGACAATATTCCACGCAGGAGGGGGAGAAAAAACAACTGTGAAAATGGAAATGGCTTCCCACAGTCTCAGAGTCGCTACAGCGGAAAAAAAGGACTATCCACATGACATAAGCCTGTGAGGCCTTGCAAAGAGGCAGAAGCAGCAGAAGGTGGGAAAGGAAGCAGAGGAGCAGAGAGGAAAATGCGGGGAAGAAAAAAAATAAACTTTCAGAGCCTGGAGATTTAGAGTCGACGGAAAAAAAGTCTTTTTCATAAAACTCGACCATTCCACATAATTTTGTCCGAAAATTGTAATGTCTACTTGGGGCTGGGGGAGCTGAGTACGGCTGACACCTGTTATGTATTCTAGGGCCAGGATGAGGAACCATAGAGAAAGAAAGGATTTCAGCTAACGAACTAGCTGGTGGTGGTGGGGGGGTATGGAATAAAGTAAATGAGGGAGCAACTTCTCAACTGTGAATTAAATAATGACACATTTCCAACTTTTAATTGCCAAATGTGGAAATTCTGGGAATGCAACCTCGCTTAGCTCAGCTTGATGGAATTTTGTATAGGAATGAGGTCCCACTCAGTGACCTTTCTCAGCCCTGAGACCCATGGCTGCCTGCCACTCATTCACCATCACCCTGCAGTTTCTGGAGTCTGCGACTGGATGAGGCTCCAGGAAAACCTCCTGGGGAGTTGTTTATATCATAAAGCCCCATTTGGACAATCTGTTTTTCTTTTTTGGCAGATAATCTAAAGAAACAAATGACAGAAAACTGGAAACCAGTGTTTGGAAGTGTCCATTAGTGTGTTGTCAAGTTTTATTGCTTATCATGAGACTAAAGTTTGTCTGAAATTAGCGTGCAGAACTTGACCCGCTGTTATAACAGGGGGTCAAGGTTAATCTAAGGCTCCCCAATGGGGTCTCTCTTAGTGATTTCTTTGCTAAAGGACTGTCAGAATGCCAGAAACCCATGACGACAAGCTCAGCCTTTAAACTAGACAATGTTGTTAATAAAGTTTTTGCAAAGATTTTTAATTAGATGTTCTATTAGACTGTTTTATATCTGAAAACGAAGTCTAACCACTTGTGGAAGTAAAGTTCTAGTTATTTAAGGAAAGAGTTAAAGCTACATTGCATTTAAAATTTACGCTATAGGAGTTTTATTAGACATTGACTGTGCTATTCTCACATGCATACTGAATTCCTTGGCCGTCATATGCTGGTCAGAGCGCGAAGCTTTCTCTCTGAAATGGCTCATGGTGTGATGATGTTATTCGTGTAATTGTTCAACTTTATTCTATTAGTTTTATGACTTTATTCTCGTAAATGTATGACTATTCTCGTAATTTTGCAATTTTATTCTTGTAATATTACGACTTTATTCTCATAATATTGCGACTTTATTCTCATAATGTTATGACTTTATTCTCGTATTTGAAAAAAAAATCTCTTGCCTGGCTCTAATACTCCTTCGTAATAATGAATTAGATTAATATGAGGTAATTTTAAATTCAAACTGCTTTTTATTTGTAAAAATAGATTTAAAAATCAAATGACTGTATTTAAAAGTTAGAATGTGCTTAATTCAAATTGAAATACTGAATTTGTCATTTTGTGGTCAGGTATTAGCTGCAGCAATCATATACTTGACCCATTAGGTGCAGACCAAAGGGTGAGCAAAGAGAATGCTAATCGATGTGTTTGTACTGGCTAGCTGGCCTAAAGCAGCACTGAATACCTGCAATAATCTTCCCAAAGGGTGACGGCGTCACCACTGCAGATGGGGGCAGGAAGTGTTCTGCTTGCAGGATAACAACCAGTTTGTACTGTACAGCCATGCGCTGGGTATGGCTGTACAGTACAAACTAAGAAAATGAAAACGTTTTCTTTCAGGTTCTGAAAGTTGCAACCCACAAAGGGAAGAAATGAAAAAAAAAAAAAACTGACAGAAACCAGACCTACAGTAGTTAAAAAAAAGACCCTCCGTCTTAACACATGCTGTAAACCAAACTCAGTATAAATTAACGGAACCAAGATACAGTATCATGTCTTATTTGCACATTTTTGTGTTCTATTTTCTTAGTCTGTTTTTCTATAACACTCCTCCGTATTCAGAACCTTTCAGAGAGAGTATTGGCGATATAGGAGGAGAAGGAAAATGCACAGTTGCTTGGTTCACAATTACACGGAAATTCTCAACGTGGTCATGGGTTTGGTGGACGCTCCGTCTTGCGCTGAGTTTTTATCCCTGCAGTCCCACAGGAGAGCCGGAGTGTGACCAAGGAGATTACAGTCTCCTGCTTCTCTCAGCACACCGGAGCGGCCAGCACTAACAGCCGAGGCAGTCTTACGGGGAGGAAGGTACGACATGCCCTCAGGACAAATGAACTTCCATCAGTAAGGAGAGGAACTCAGATAGCTACATGCCTGAGACGCCGAGTGCAGAAGCCTGTACAGGCTGAGCACTAATGAAGGGAATATCATCCTTTTCCTCTCCTACTTTTCATAGCTGTTGTTGAAGGTGGATAATATTAGTGGAAGACATCGGTAAGAGCAATTTAAGTTACCCTTAAAATGAGTCACACTGACTTTTTGTTACAACATGCTCGGATGGAAGGATGACCTTTTTTGCAGCATCTCTTATTGCCTGAGGACCCACATCCTCAGACAGCCACCTCAGCACCTTCCCCAGCAGGGTTTCTAAGCCACAGCGGGGCTGGGGTTCACCTTGGGGCAACTGAGCTCCTCAAACTGTCAATTTCCTCCCAAGACTTAACGGCTCCTCAAGGCACTGGCTTGAGTCATGAGTTTTTCTTTTTTTTCATTCTGTGGGCTGATTTAAATTGAGGCTAAGGCTTAAAAGTCCTGTCTGCAGCATGGTCATTACCAGCAGAGAGCCTTAACACCCTAGAGGTGGGGAAGGCAGTGGAGAGAGAAAAAGCTGAGCTGAGACAGACTCTCCATAATGGTGTAATGTTCTTCTCTGCCGTCTGATTATGAGTCTGCTGTTGTCAACACGCCGGCTCTCAAACACGTCTAAGTGCATGTCTTTTCAAACAGCTGTTGCAGACATTTGATTCCTAAGGGGAGTCTGACGTCAACCTAAACAGATCAGCTTGAGTTTGGATGAAGAGGGCTTTCAAAGCACTGGCGTAAACATTTAGTAGCTTCAACAATGTTTGGATTTGCTGAGTTGAATTCAAACTGCTGGCGCTATAAAACAGCAAGAAAAGGGGAAAGGAGAAATATTTTTGGCAAGCCTGATTTCATATATCATACTGTTATAGACTTATCTATTGACAGATGCATAAACAATAGCATAACCTTGAGGCACTTAATTAAAAAGCATATTTCATAAAGTAGAAAATCAAAAAATCTGGAAAGTATTGAAACATAAACCTGTCAACAAGTAAATTAAATATACTTTTCAGAATCAGAAAGAGCATTTTAAACAGGAGGCATGGCCATGTATGGTGAATAATGATATTCCTGTCTGAAAGCCTGTCAGTTTCAGATAGAGAACGTATGGCATCTTATTGAAAGATTGATGGAGCGCCTTTGCTATAAAAGAGCCAGAAAACATGGGTTAGCTTTGGTTATATCTCTACCAGCTAAAAGGAGGTATATATACATATATATATTTTTTTTTTTTCTTTAGTTTTTACAGCACTAGTGGCTTTTTTTTGTTGGACAGTTGGCTGCCAGTTTTGGGTACTCTAGCCAAGCTGAGTTT